TTGTAGGCATGATAAGAACACAACTTTTATTTTCAGACTTAAGTGGTAGTCCCGCTAAAAGCGGTCCACTGGACTTCGGGACCAAAAATAAGTTTCCTTCATTTTATGTCAGTGGAAAGGGTTTGACACATACATAAAAAAGCAATTTGTTATTTTGCAATTCCTTATTTTTGCTTTGCTACGAGCCAAAGTTAAATTTTGGCCGAACTGAGGTTGCCAACCGTGATCAGAAAGGTAAAATTCACCGATTTTGTGAAGCGTGCTACGTTGCCTAAAATGCAGCCCACAGAATTTCGTTTTGATACGAATTTTAAGGTACATTCATTACTTTGATTGACGAAATATGGAAACTTTTCGAAAAATTCTAAGCTTACCAGTGAGGCTGGAAGACACCCTTCTCCGAGGCGTTTGATCACCTACTAAAATCTAGCCAAATTTGACGGGGAAAATCTCAAAAGTTGGGTCTAAATGAACCCTAAAAAGCAGTATCGTTAGTATCGTTTGGAAAACTCTCATATATCATAAATCTTGAAAATGACAAAGACAACTAAGTGTGAAAAGTTTCCATGTTATATTTGACAAAAACATTGAAAGCTCTATTGGCTGTTCAAAATACAATATATGTAGTACTTTCGGCTACCTACATGCAGGTGTTTTGGAAATTAATTTTGAAAATTAATTTTCAGACAATTGGAAGTGTTTCTTGCGGCATTCACTCTAATACACTTTGAGACTGTTCAATATACTTTTGACCACTCTGTGGCCAAAAGAATATTGAACAATGACAAGTAATTGCACCGAAAGCGCTGTATTATTTTTGCAAGCGTAACACTCATGCTCGATCATCTGAATGTGAACTGGCCATTTAAAATGTAAAGAACATTCGGTAGCTAACATGCAGGTGTGCCTAAATGTCATTGACAGGAATTTTATCTTCAGTTGACAGGAAGTTTTAGTTGCGACACTAATATATTTTGAGACTGAATCCCTTGGTGGCTGAAGGAATATTGAACAAATTAACAGGTACGCCGTAGTTAATTTTGCATGATTGTTTATTCGTATTAAGCAAAAATCTATATTAATTTTAGCTAGTTTTTGGTTATACCACACAGTGTTACCTCTTGACTAACAGCTTGTACAGGTGATATTTCCTTAACTTTTGTGGGTCAATTTGTTTTTATCTAAGTTTCATTTTATGGAAGCTTTTAAGTAAAAATAAATAATGTGCACTTTGTTGCTGAAGGAAAAGGTGTTCGTAATTGTTGTCTTGAGCATTTTGATGGGAGTCAGTTTTTATGTCAATAGCCTGTTTTAAGACTAAAACTGAACGGAGCTTTCATTAATTGTGCAGATGAGCTGTGTATTTTAGATTTATTGTTTTCTTTTTCAAAGGGTAATACCACATATTGGAGGACCTGAAATTTCGTCTTCTAGAAAGGTATGTAAATTACACCTCACTGTTATCCAAGGCATATTATTTTTTGTGCACTTTCACTCCCAAAATGTGAGTCGTTTCTAAAGTTTAGGAACCGCAAGTACATGTCATATAGCAAGCATTTTCAACTAAATATTTTTCCATTATCATAAGAAACATCTATTAGAGCAGGAGGAATTCTTGGTAAATTCAATTTCAATCAAGGGAAAAGTGACTGAACTCTGCTATTTCCAATTGTAAGGGGAAAAGAAAAACGCTTTGAAATAGCGGGGATGCGGGAATTAAATGTGATTTAATTATTAATCAACATAATGGAATGAATTTAATTATTTCCCAAGAGTCAGAAGAGAATACCTTAGGACAAATTTCTTTACAGTAGAAGAATAAAGTAAGATAAGATAAGATAAGATAAGATAATATAAGATAAGATAAGATAAGATAAGATAAGATAAGATAAGAACTTTATTAACGTGTCGAAGTCGCTGGCATACAATGTATACTAATTGGGGACACCTACGATGAAAAGCCCAAATGATATAGTTTTACCATGTTCTGAAATCATGATGATGCTCTCTCTCTCTCTCTCTCTCTCTCTGAACCGGGAACTTCCAAATTGGCAACAGTAAATGTCCGAAAACAGGGCAAATCCAACAAAAATGATTTTAAATCCTAAACATGCAATGGGAATTCGGAAATAGGAGATGTATCAGCTATCTGTAGTTTTCCCACCGGTAGTCTCGTATTCTGTTTCATCAGCAGGTAAGTACAGTACATGTAAGACATAATTTAAGTTTAAATTATTCAATGAATTACCTCTTACTAACTGAGCTCGAGGTGCACTTGTGTACTGTAAGATACAGACCATGTTTATTGCCCTTTGATTTATGGCCCAAGTAAGAAGCACGTAAGCTATGAGCGAAAGAAAAAAAAGGTGGATCCGTAAGTTATTGTACGTCGGGATGGAGAAGACAATATATATTTAGTTATATTCTTTAACCAGATCAGTCTCTTGGCTCACCCTTGGCTTCGGCCCAGCTGGCTCACTCCTCCTGTCTGCACTTTTTTTCACTGTTCTTCTCCATGTGATCGTTGGCCGTCCCACTTTTCCTTCAGGCTGCCACTCCTTTTTCATCCTGCAGTCATTGTTCCCCTCCATTCTCAGCACATGCATTTCCAGTACAGTTCCATGTATTCCTCTCCTTTGGAACTCATCACTGATCTATTCATGCCTGTTATTTAAGATATGGTCATTTTTCCTAAGGTGTTGTGCCCAGCGTATTCTGTTTCCTTCCTTTTGGATCTTTCTCAGGCATATGAATTGGAATCTATCCAGCTTCTCCTCTTCTGTTGCAAGTTCATATTTTGCAGACTTCTTATCCAACTACAGCACTGAACACACCAGCATCTTTCGTTTTCCGTGTTCCTTTTCGAGATCTTCATCAGGTTGAAAAAAGGTTGTCATGCCTTGCTTAGATGTTTCTTGATGCCTTCCGTGACTGCACCATCCAATTATCACAGTTGCGACAGACAAACTCTTCTGCATCGCCCACTTCTTCGTTTCCAATCTTTACTAGGGCTTCTCTCCGTGCAGTTATTCTGGTCACTTTTTACTGCATTCAGCTCCAGTCCTTCTCTTCCTGCAGTGTTTACCACTCGGTCGGTCATGTTCTGTATGTACTCGTAATTTGATAAAACAAGAACTGTGAAATCAGCAAAGTCAAGACACGGCACGAAAAATTGGATTTACTCTAAATTTGATCCTGATTAAAGTCGAGGTCAAATATGATCATAGCTCTGATCCAAACTTTGACGTGCGTCAAATGTATGTCAAAACTGTCATGGCTTTGCCGATACATTTGATNCTTTTTACTGCATTCAGCTCCAGTCCTTCTCTTCCTGCAGTGTTTACCACTCGGTCGGTCATGTTCTGTATGTACTCGTAATTTGATAAAACAAGAACTGTGAAATCAGCAAAGTCAAGATCGAGTAGTTGTGGAGTTGCATCTAACGTCATTTCTCTGCCCTACTGTTGTCCTCCCATCACCCAGTCGACAGCGAGCATTAACAGGAGCCCTGACACGACACAACCTTGATTAACACCGGTGGTGATCTTGAACCATCTTGTCTACGTTCTTCCTCATTTAGTACTGAGCATTTAAAGCCATTGCAGATGTTCTTCCCCACAGTTCGTCACGGTGTATTGAGTCGAAGGCTTTTCAAAGTTAACGAAATGTATTTATAATGTCGCCGGCCACTCCTTTGCCTGTTCCATGGTGTTGCGAAGGAGAAATATTTGTTCGAATGTGCTCTACTTATTCTGCGGTAAACCAGCTTGGTCCTTCAACAGGGCACCATCCACTCCGTTTTGGATCCTCTGAATGATGATTTTCTCATTACTCCGCTGTCTGCAGGTAGCAGTGTCAAGTCATGCTAGTTGTAACACTCCTTCAGGTCTCCATTTTTAGGCAGCTTAACTATCAGGCCTTTTCCCGTTTTCCAAAAATTCTCAATCCGCATCCAAGATTGTTTCGTCCACTGAAAGAAAAGACTTAAAGCTGTACATTCTTTTCATGCCATATCCTTTTAAACAGTCTTATCAATTCTTTCACTGCCACATTGCTGTCTGTTTTGTGCAACTCTGCTTGGATCTCATCAACTCCAGGTGATTTTCGGCTCTTTGTCTTTTCAGTACTTGCCTCACCTCTGCAGCTCTTATCTTGGCAGTGTCCATCTAGCCAATTTCATCTGTCTTCATTTCGTGTTCCTCAGTCAGGTTCGTTGGAGCCTCTTTGATTAGTGCCTCTTCAAAGTAGAAGTCCATCTTTCAAGTCGAGAATCCTGGTCTTTTATTATCCGACCTTTTTTGTTCTTGACTGCTGCAATTTGCTATTTCTGAGACTTTTACCACTGTAAGATGATGAGTTAGTTATGTCAAAAATGTAAAAAAAAAAAAAAAAAAAAAAANGAAGTTCGCGCGAAAATTTTCCAACATTGATTTTTTTCTGAGACTTTAACCACTGTAAGATGATGAGTTAGTGATGTCAGAGATGTAAAAAAAAAAAATGGGTGGTCACCGACTTCGTTTGGAGAGAAGATGCTCGGAAAATCACCCAAAATATGAAAAAATCGGGCTTCGTTAGCCAATAAGGCCACAGTGTCTGCAAGCCCAAAAATATTGCAATTAGATCTTTGAAGTGAAATGTTCTCTGCCAAATATTGTTTAAGTGGGACCAATTAAGGGAATTTAGTCAACTGGTGAGGTTTCTTAAGGAACAAGTTCGCATTTAGCGACCATAGTTTCACGCGCTTTGCAGCCGCAATATGGCAGGATTCGATGTCCCGTGGACAGAAAACTTGAATTTATTTTAACTTCCCACATTGATTTTTTGTTCGTTTTTGGACAATGTGGAAATAATTGTAAATAAAATCTGTTTCTGGAAAGAAAAGTAGGGGTCACCCAACGTCCAAGATCGTTAAATCCAGGCAAAGCTATTGCAATGGTCATCTGCCCCATCATTGCTCATTTTATTACTTACTGGCGCGTGCTCTCATGCATTCCGTGGCATTCGAATTTGCGTGGCAGTAAAGATGCGCAGAAACAATTAGCGCGAACGTCCTTCACGTAAAGTACCTACTTGGTTTTGTCTTTCTTGTTATCTATTACCAATAAACTGTTATTTTCTGTTGTTAATTAATTTTAATCTTTTTCTTTCATATGGATGTTGGGGAACAAATTAGCTGGTAAGTATCATTCTTTTTGCTTTCCAATTCATCAGATCAATTTCTTTTGCACAAGAGAACTTAATAACGAGTCACATAGTAGTCTTGGGTTTCTTTTTTCCGTAATAAATTTCTCAAAAGGACCAAAATATTTTTTTTTAAGTAAAAACTATATCAAGTCTAAAAAAACACAGTAAAGTTGTAATTTCTGTTCACAATAGATATTTACTTCCCGTTTATAATTGATTTTTATCTTTTCCATTTTGTTGTCGATGTTAGGGAGCAAACCAGCTTGTAAGTAGTAATAATTCTGTTTACTTTTCAATTTATCACATCAATTTCTTAATGTAAAGTTACTTACCCGTCGACTAAATATTATTTTGAATCTAAAATAACACAACAAAATACTAATTCCTGTTAACAATAAAATAAAAACTCCTGTTTATAATTGATTTTCATCTTTTTCTTTCATATGGATGTTAGCGAACAAATTAGCTGGTAAGTATCATTCTTTTTCATTTCCAATTCATCAGATAAATTTCTTTTGAACAAGAGTACTTAATAGAGAGTCACATAGTAGTCTTGTTATTTTTTTTTTTTCTGTTTCTTATTTTTGTGATTCATTTCTTATGGGGAACAGAATATAGATTCCTTTTAATAATTGAACTTCATCTTTTCCACTTTACTGTCGATGTTGGGGAACAAATCAGTTTGTAAGTATCATTCTTTTTTTTCTTTTCAATTGATCACATCAATTTCTTTTGATCCAATGTACTTAGTGCAAAGTTATTTAGTAGTCTTGTGTTCCTTTTTCTTTAATAAATTCCTTAAAAGGTAGAAAATATTATCTTTCAGTTAGAAACTATTTTGAATCCTAAGTAACAAAATAGAATATATTAAATGTGGCTAAATATCATTAAGGCAAAGTTAGACTCACACCAATGCATTCAGCAGTCTTCCCCTCAATGGCACGTGACCTGCGGGCAGCCCTGAGGGGATTCGTAGGGCTCTTGCGTTTCATTACACTACATGTGCAGTTCACTTAGCTGATCCTTGCAGTTCATTTCTCAGCTCATGCTAGCGAATCCTTGAAGATTCTTGCTTCCTCTCCTCCCTCCCTCTTGGTCTGCTGGTTTCTCAGTAAGTATTCGGTCAGGTACGTTATTTCCACTGGTATCTTCCAGTGTGACGGTGCCAATTAGCAGCCACTTTTCGCGGTAGTCCCCACTTCCAGGGTTGTCATGAATAACGTCTGTATAATGCTATAGGCATCAGTCCCAAAGCTTATCTATTTGTGCTAACGGCTATTTCCTAACGTGTATTATCGTTGGCCTCACGGTGTAGTCACTTGAGATGTAGATCGCGACGTTTCAACTTCTTACTGCTAGTCCTATTCAGGCGATGAGGTCGACTGATTGCACGGCACCATTTATACCACGAAGGTCAGCTGTGATTGGTGCATTTCGATCCTCCCATTGTTCCATTGTTCCGGCGAGTAACTGTTCTCTCAGCGGGCCGCTGTTGTACCGTTCTCCTGTTGTTGTGTATTTTGATAGTGGGTATCCATGCTTCGGAAATTTCAATTCCACTAACCCTGTTGATGTTATTAGGGTGAAGTCTTAAGTGGATAGCTTCCCTGACCCCACTTGTGTACCAGTGAGGATCTCGATCAATAAACTTGACTCTACCAAATCGGATAGTGGCCGGTCTCGTGGGCGTGTTCGGAAACGGCTGAAGTCTGGGCACGGGCGAATCGTATATCCCTGTCGTGTTCTTTGATCCTCTCCTGCATAGGTCTCCCTGTTTCCCCGATGTAAGACTTTGCCGCACTCGAAGGGAACAA